GGGGGGGGGGGGGGGCAGGGCTCGCTAGATGGCGAGACAGGCGCCCGATGTCAAGCCGCGCCCGCCAAGGCTGGTGGTGTTCCGCGCCAACAGCAAAGACACGGGCGAAGGCAACAGCGCGCGTGCCCGGTTCGGGAAATGCGGCGCGTGCTGCGGCAACGCAGATGCTCGACGTCCAGCGGGCAAAATTTGCAGAGGACGGGAAGCTGCCGCTGGGCTGCCCGCCGTGTCGCTGCAGCTTAGGCGCAGCAGCAGAGCGGCGAGGGGCGGGGCGGCGCGGCGAGCGGCGAGGCCGAGGGAGGGCTCGCGGCGCAGAACTCCCCATTCACTCGCACGACGACAGAAGGCTGTACATGGTCGCGGCCTCGGGCGGCGCCCTGGGGCCACAAAATGCGAGAAGCGAGCAGGGCGCGGAGGTCAGGCAGCCGGGACGGCCGAGGCGGGGAGCGCTGGTGGCGGGGGCGGAAAACGGCAGACGGCGCGCCTGTCCATGCAGGCGCCGCGCTGCACAGCCGGGAGCGGCCGCGCCCCGCGGACGCGCCCGTGCGCCGCACTCACTTGGCCCCGGCCTCGCTCTCCTCCCCGCAGTGCCTGGCCGCCTCGCTCTTCACCATGCCAACCGCTGTTCCGTCGACGCCCGCTGCAATGCCGCCGCCGCCGCCTGGAACCTGCTCCGGGCCCTTGCCGTTGATGTGGCCGCCGCCGGCGTGCTGCTGCTGCTGCTGCTGCCGAGGCAGCGGCGGCAACGCCCAGGCGCCCTTGCCCATGCCACCCATTCCCAGCCCGGCCGCGTGCGCCTGCGGCTGGGGGGCGTGGCCACCCTGCGGCGGCGGTGACGACTGGTGCGCGCCGCTGGCAAACTGCGCGTAGTGCGCTTGTGGGGGCGCCCCGCCCCCGCCGCTGCCGCCGCCCCTGCCCGGCAGATCCGGAAGCACCGAGTGCTGCGCCTGCGGCTGCACCCCATAGCCCTCCGCCGCACCATCCGCATGCGCCGCGCCGCCACCCCCATGCCCCTGCGCGCCGGGCCCGCCCCCCCGCTGCGCGCCGCCGCCGCCGCCGTCGTGCCCGTGCCCGCCGCCGCCCCACCCCAGCGGCGACAACGGCGGCGGCGAGGGCGCCGCGCCCGCACCATCGTCCAAGAACTGGTGCAGGTGGATGGTGGCCATCTCAGGCGGCCGGTCAGGCGCGCCGAACAGCAGCTGCATGACGTCACCGTCTGAGCGGTGCTCGAACGTGGTGTCTGGGGCCCACAGGTCGGAGAATGACTCGTCCTCTAGAGACGGCATCATGGACCGCGGCATGCTTACTGCTTGCGCGGGCTGCGGCGGCAGCGGCTGCTGGAACTGCGCAAAGTTGAACAGGATGCCGGGGCGCTGCTGCGCCTGGGGCGGCGCGTGCTGCTGGGGCGGCAGCGGCTGGTGCTGCTGCTGCTGCTGCTGCTGCTGCTGTTGCGGCGGCGGCTGGTGCGGCAGCGCCGGCGGCGGCTGCGGAGGGGCGTGCTGCTGCTGGACAGGCTGCTGGTGCGGCAGAGGCGCATACTGCGGCTGCTGCGGGTGCTGCAACAGGTGCTGCTGCGCGTGCTGCTGCGGCGGCGGCGCCTGCTGCGGATGCGGTATGTGCTGCGGATGTGGCGCGAGCTGCGGCGCGTGCTGCGGCTGGGGAGGCTGCTGTATGTGCGGCTGCACATGCTGCATGTGCTGCTGCACCTGCTGCACTTGCTGCACCTGCTGCTGCGCCTGCTGCGGAGCCGCGTGCTGCTGCGGGTGCGGGGCAACGCCCGGCGGCAGCTGCGGCGGCGCGACCGACGGCGCATGGTATACGTGCTGCGCGGGGGGAGCGAATGCCGCGAAGGGGGCGCCCGCGAAGCCGGTGGGCTGCGGCGGCGGCATCGGCGGCGGCGGCGAGGGCACGCGGGAGATCCAGTCGTCAAAGCCGTCAAAGAGGTCGTGCAGGTCCTCACTGGCCAGATCCTCCGCCCCCTCATGGTGTGGCGTCGCCACGGGCGTCGCGCCTGTGCCGCTGGCGCGGCGGTGCTGGCCGGGCGGCCGCGCGCCGGGCGGCGGCATGAGCGCCGCGAGCGCGTCTGCGCTCGGGGGCGCGGCGGGCCCGCCCAGCTGCGGCGTGCCTACCAGTGGCGGTGGCGGGCCCATGAAGGCGGGCTGCTGTTGCTGCTGCTGCGGCTGCGGCGGCAGCTGCGGCTCTGGCGGCTGCTCCTGTTGCTGCTGCGGCAAGTGCTGATGTTGTTGCTGCTGCTGCTGTTGCTGGGCCACGTGCTGCTGCTGCTGCTGTTGCTGCTGTTGCTGCTGTTGCTGCTGAAGCACCATGAGCTGCTGGTGGTGGAAGTAGAACTCGCCACCGAACTGCTGCTGCAACGACGCCGCGGCCGCCGCGGCCGCGGCAGCGCCGGCCGCTGCTGAAAGGTCGCCGCTGTACTGGCTGAATTGCACAGGCTGCGGCTCCACAGGGGCGGCGCCAAACTGCGGCAGGCCGTACTGGTTGCCCACGCCGTTGACCGCCGGCGGCACGCCCGCAGGCGGGTCCTCTTGGACCGCGGCGTCTGCCGCGAGGTCCGCCGCGCCC